ACAGTTCTGCAGGCTAGAGGTCTGAGATCAAGGTGCTGGCGGGGGTGGTTCCTTCTGGGCGCTCTGAGTGAGAATTTGCTCCTGCTTCCGGTGGTGGCCAGCAAGCCTCGGCATTCCTTGGTTTGCAGCTGCATCACTCCAAGAGCTGCCTCTGTCATCACATGATCTTCTTTCCTCTGTGTATGTGTCTGTGTCTTCAAATCTCTCTTTCCTTATAAGGACACTAGTCATTGGATTTAGGGCCCACCCTACTCCAATATGACCTCAATTTAAGTTGATTACATCTGCAAAGACTCTGTTTCCAAATAAGGTCCCACTCACAGGTACTGGGACTTCAGCATATCTTTTGGGGCACCATAATTTAACCCATAACAGATCCCTTTCTTACAGCATACCTAAAATTTAACTAAAAATGGATCATAGACCTAAATGTAAAACCTAAACCTATAAAATTCTTAGAAGAAAACATGGGGGAAAATCTTTATGACTAGGGTTAGGCAAAACCTTCTTAGATATGATACCGAAAGCACAAGCAACAAATGATGAGATAGATAAACAACTTCATCAAAAGGTTTTTTTTTTAAAAAAATATTTATTTATTTATTTACTTTGGCTGCGCTGGGTCTTAGTTGCGGTACGTGGGATCTTCGTTGCGGCATGTGTCATCAAAAGTTTTTAAGCTCCAGAGGACACCATCAAAAAAATTGAAAAGACAACCCACAGAATTGGAGAAAATATTTTCAAATTACATATCTGGTAAGAGACTTGTATCCAAAACATAAAAAGAATTCCTTCTTACAACTCAACAATAAAAGGACCATAACGCAATGGAAAAATGTGTAAAGAATTTGAACAGACATTTTCCGCATATAAATCCTGTATGTGTTTTGTTAGATTTTTACCCAAGTATTTAATTTTGGGGGGAGCTAAAGTAAATGTTATTGCTTTAAAAATTTTGGTTTTCAGTTGTTTGCTTCCAGTAGAAGCAGGATTGAAGTTGTTTTGACCTTGTATCCTGCAACCTTGCTAACCTCACTTATTAGTACTCAGATTTTTTTTTTTTGGTAGAACTTTTGGGATTTTCTACATAGACTTTCATGCCATCTACGAATAGAGTGAGTCTTATTTCTCCCCTTCTATTCTGTAAGTCATTTATTTAGTTTTCTTATTTTATTGCATTGGCTAGGACTGCCAGTACAATAGCGGATAGTAATGGATAGAGTGGACATCTTTGCCTTGTTTCTGATCTTAGGGCAAAACACCCAGTCCTTCATTATTAACTATCATGTTAGTTGTAGTTTTGTTTTGTCTCTTTTTTTTTTCTTTTTAGATACCCTTTATTAAATTTAGTAAAATTTCTCCTGTTTCTGGTTTGCTGAGAGTATTTATCATGGATGGATATTGAATTCTGTTAAATGCTTTCTGTGCATGAATTGATATGATCACATGGTTTCTTCTTTAGATTGTTAATATGGTGGATCACACTGATTTATTTTCACATGTTGAACCAGTCTTGTTTTCCTGAGATAACCTCCCTTTGGTTGTGGTATTTCTTTGTTTTTATTTTTTATGTTGCTTGCTTCTATCTGCTAATATTTTGTTGAGAATATTTGTGACATGATGGCATTGGATTTTCTTTTCCCTTGTGGGTTGGATTTTCCTGGCTCTTCATATGCAGAGTAATTTTGGATTGTATTCTGCACATTCAAATGGTATGTTATGAATATCTGGTCTTGTTTAAATCCTATTGAGAATGGTGATATTTTTGTTTTAGCATGCAATCAACCCAGTTGGGTTCAGGCAGAAAATCCCAAACAGCCTTCTGTGGGTAGTGGTTTCAATGTCACTTCTGTTTTCAGAGGCTTTGCGGTGTTGTTTGAACCCGTCCCGTGCGGGCACTGCCCAGCGGCCAGTGTGGGACTCGTGCAGTGCTGCGCACTGTAGTTCAGTCCTCGGACTCAGGGTGACACTTGGGACTGGACCCGGGCACACGTGGCTTGGGGTTGAGCCCGAAAGTCATGAACAGCTTTGCGGGTTGCCTTCTGGAGCCCCTCCTCCGGCATGCCTCCGTTACTTTTGGGCTCCCTGGGGCTCCCCTTTCCAGTCCTCTGGCAGAAGTTGGGGGCTTTAGTCACCCCACCCTCCTGCACACTCCCCCTGACTGTGCCTGCATCTTGGGAAAGAGAGAAGGGCCTGGCTCTCCCCGTCTGCTCGAGGCAACTGGGTCCCACCCTCTGGAACCACGTCTCCTCTGACTGGAGAGGAGGGTCTTCTCCCTAAAAAGGTGCCTGTGAACTCTGATGCCTTGACTGCAGCCTGGGTGGAGGTAGGATTGCCCACGTGCCCCGAAGCAGCAAACGGAACCCCCCCTCCCAATCTCTCTTCTCCCAGTCTCTCTTCTTTCCCTCCCTGAGCCAGAACTAGGGAGCCCCTCCTGGAGCTCTCTGTCCCTGTCATGTCCCCATGTCTGGCTTCTGGACCAGGCAGAGTCCAGCCTGGGGATATGGGGGGAAGATCCAGAAACTCACCACCAGGTTGGTGGTGCTTCACATTCTCGTTCTCCCCCCAGTCTGCTCAGGCTTCAGAGCCCTCAGTACCTCATGCATTACCTTCTTTTTATAGCTGCACTCAGCGAATGAGACAGGGTTTATCCCATCTCACCCCAAACGGAACCCAGGAGACATAAAAGAAAAAGACAACAGGGACTTCTCTGGCGATCCAGTGGTTAAGATTCGGCGCTCCCACTGCCAAGGGCCTGGGTTCAATCCCTGGTCAGGGAACTAAGATCCCACAAGCCGTGTGGCCCCCCCCCCCCAAAAAAATATATGTGTGTGTGTGTGTGTGTGTGTGTGCGCGTATATATATGTGTGTGTATATATATATATATATATAAATCCTTGGTCTCGATTGGGCAACTCTTACTGTCCTGCCACATTTGGTTTCTCTTTATTGAAGTGAGTGTGTGTGTAGAAATAAATGTACATTGTATTGTGGACCACTTAGGGTAAACTACAGGTGCCCTGACAATTCACCTGGTCACTTCATCACACGTGGCTCCAGAAGGACGGTCTCCTGGGCGCGGTCCTCACACAGAGACCCCCTCGGCAGTCCCTCAGCGCGCGTTTGCACCCCTGCCTCCCTCCCAATAGGACACTTGTGATGACCATGGCCCACCTGATAATCTGGATGATCCCAGATCTCAAGGCCCTTAATTTAATGACATCCTCCAGGGGAGCCGGCCCACGTCCCAAGGGCTCTGGGCCTGGCGCTAGCCGGGTGGACACACAGATAAGGGGATTGAGAGGCAAGAACTGGGTGCCGGGGTGGCGATGGGGTGTGTGCTGTTTGGAACACTGACCCAGGCAAGCAGGACGGGGGTTAAAGATCGGGCCTTCCCAGCAGCCCTTAGGTGAGGTGGGGAGGGCAGAGGGAGAGAGGAGATGGGCAGGGTGTCCTGGGGGGCAGCCCCTCCCTGAGAGCGGAGGGTGGAGGGAGGGAGCAGGCCGTGTGGGCTGTGGTGTGGGCTCAGGGGGCCCTGGAGGTGCTTCCGGCCCTCCTCTGCCTCCTGGGCCTTCTAGGGTGGTTGTGCCAGGTGGTTGCTGGTGGTGCCCGCTGGCCAGACGGAACCTGTGCTCCCTGGGCCTCCTCCCTCCATGCTGCAGGAAGTGGCCTTGCTACCCAGGCCCTTTGTCCCTGGAGACCTCCTGGGGAAGGTAAACCATCCCTGGATCTGGGGCCCCTCCCTGGGCAGTGAGGCAGCTTTAGGGTCCTGACTACACTTCTTCCCGTGAGAGCAAGTGTGTGAGTGGCTATGGGGGCTGGTAACCCCCAGTCAGCCATCCTGAGGGCTCAGCCCAAGAGCATCTCAGCACCTCACGTGTGCCTCTCATGGACGGCCCAGGGCGGCGGGCCTGCTATCCTCACTCCCTGGCCGGCCCCCAGTGCTGGTGGAGGGCGGCAGATCCCGTCACCTGCACAGACTCAGCCACCTGTGTGGAACCAGGCACATGTGGGGCCTCGGTGCAAGCCGACCAGGTGCGAGGGATCCGGGGTGTCCCTTCACCCTCTGACCTGGTCTCCTCCTGTCAGAGGCAGCAGGCAGGCGGCCGGTGCGGTCCCCTCCTCCATCCTGGGGTGGGCATGGCTGGCATGTTGGGGGCGGTGCTCAGTGAGGACAGGGTGGGGACTCCGGTGGGGGGGGAGGAAGCCCGAGCCTCCAAACCCTAGCGTGCTCCCTGGATGGCTGGAGAAGAGGATGAGGGCTGCCCAGTGGCCCTGCTCTGCCCCCTCAGGTAAGAACCGGGGAGGCTGGAGAAACCCAGGATGCAGGGCTTCTCTGGGACGCGGCGCCGTGTCCCCAGACGAGGCCCCGGGGGCCACCTGCAGATAGTCGGCGGCAGCCCGGCCCCCACGTCGGGGCTAGCTCCGCGGGTAAGGCACAGGGTCCCGCAGGCCGCCTGTCGCAGGCGATCGGGTCACACTGGTGGGTGGCCCGGGTACGGGCTGCGGTGGAATTTCAGGGTGTGAGCGGAACTGAGGCGCCCGCGGGGCGATTCTCCGGCTGTTGGGTGAGGACAGTGGACAGGAGACTTCCCGGGCTTGCGCGTGGACCCTGGGGGCGTCAGGCTGCCCAGTGTCATAGGTCCCGGGGGCCTTTGCTGCGCAGTGCCGTCGCCCTGGCAACCGGCGCTGCGGAGGGGGCGGGGTCGCGGGGACCCCCATCGCCGTCAGGCGGGCGCAGGCGGCTGGGAGCGCGGGGCGGGGCCTCAGGCCGGGGGTGGGGCGCGCGCGCGGGCTGGGGGCGCAGCTGAGCGCAGAAGAGCGCGGCCTCGGCCCCGCGCACCTACGGGCTCCGCGGAGTCGGCCCGGGCACGGCGCAGCATCTGGCCGGCGGCGGGTAAGTGAGGGCAGGGCGCGCGGGCAGGGCGCGCGGGCTGGGGCTCCCGGTGAACCCCGACTCTCCGGCCGCAGGGGCGGCGGGATGCAGGGGCGGCGCTGCAGGGGTGAGGCCTGGCGGGGGAGCGGGCGGTGGGGTCAGAGGAGCGGAGACGCAGCTGCGGGAGCGGCCCAACCCCTTCACCGCCCTCTGTCCGATCGGGCTGGGGCCGGGGGAGGGCGGCCCTTTTCTCCCCCCCTGCCACCGCTTGTGGGCACTGAGGGACGGTTGGGGCTGGAGGGCGTGTGAGGCGCCGGGGAGGAGGCGGGCAGTGAAGGGCCCGGAGGCTCCGGAGTCTGTGAGGTCCGGGCAGTGGGGCGTGCAGGAGGCACCGGGCCGGGCCCGGGCCGGCCAGGGCAGCGGGGCCAGTCCCCAGGGAGAGGCCCGGCAGGGTGTGGGGGAGGGGTGGCCAGGCCCTGGCGCTGGCTGCCTGGGGCAGGGGCCGGGGCTCCTTCTGTGCCGGGGTCTGTCCCGGCACCCTCAGCCCTCCGCGCATGTTTGATGAGTGAGTGAGCCGTGGTATGGGTGGGGAGGAAGGGGTTAGTGGTGCAGCGGCTGTTTGGCTAGTTGGCCAAGGGCTGGGATGAAGGAAATTCCCAGGCCGCTGCTGCAGCCACAGGAGGCCCAGGTGTGTGTGTGTGTGTGTATGTGTGTGGCGGGCTTCGTGGGTCAAGCGTGTCCACTCAGTGGCGGCGGACACGGGGTGTGTGTGTGAGGGGGGAGCAGCAGCTCACGGAAGTGTGGAGGCAGGGGCATAATAGGCCGATGACCCTCCCGAGGCACCTACCTACTCGACGCGGCCGAGCTCAGTGGTTGGGGGCCCTGGATGTGGCGGCAGGGACTCCTGGGAGGTGGGTGCTGGGTGGGGCAGCACTGCAGTGAGGGCAGGGGTGGAGGTGCCGACTTGGAAGGGGACCTCCTTCCCCAGGCAGTGGGGGCTGCGGTATCACCAGGGGCAGGCTGGGCACTGGCTCCACAGTCACACGTGACATTAAATTTTATGTCCTTGTCTAGACAGGGCAGTAAACAGAGCCCTGGGGCCAGGGGTGCTGTGGGAGGGACAGGAGGGATGGGGAGACTGGCTGGGAGTGAGCCTGCAAGTGACTTTCTGGTGGGTGAGGGCGCAGGGCCTCCATCATCCCCCAGGTGTGAACGGGCACAGGTGTGGGGACCCGCAGCCTGCGGCGGAACTCTGACCAGCACAGCCATGACAACCAGTGCCAGGGGTGTGAGAGGGGTGCAGGGGGCCGTGGAACCCAAAGCAGGCCCAGGTGGGCGTTAGCGGAGGGAAGGCTTCCTGAGATTGCCCCCAAGGGCAGGGGGGAGGGAGTGGCAGGGGGACCACCTCATGGTGAGCGGGGCGGCGTGGGTGAGCTGGCGCCGGGGCTGGGGGAATGTACACGGCAGGAGACGCAGCCAGGGCAGTAGGGAGCCACGATGGGAGCAGGGCAGAGACTGGTCCACACGCCCTGTGAACGGTGGACCGGAGGGGAGACTGAGTCTGCCGAGGCAGGGAGGGAAGATGCAGGGGCTGCGAGGCAGGGGTTGGGAAACACGGAGAGGCTTTTGGGATGGAATCCGCAGGCCTGGATGACTCTCAGTCCTGGATCGGGAAACCTGTCCAGAGCTCCGGCTCCTCCGGCCTTCCCTGAGCGCGCAGAGCGGAGAGCGCAGGCCCGCCTCCCGCCCAGCGCGGCGCCGGGAGCGAGGACGCCCGAGCTCCCGCGGGAACGGCCACGGGACGGAACCCCGGGCCTGCGGTGCAGGCCGCCAGAGCCGGAGGGACGGCGGCGTGGGCCCAGCAGGGACAAACCTCCGGGTCCCCCGCGCGCGCAGCGGGGAGAAGCCACTTCCGTTCCGTTTCCTCCCCGGCGGTGGCGGGAACGAGGTCTCGGGTCTCAGGTGGGGCTGCGGCGCCCCCTGGAGGCCCCGCTCTGGCTCGCGGCCCCCCGTGCGCACATCGGCGCGTGCGTGCGGCCGAGGCCCGGGGCCCCGAGTGGGGACAGCGCCCCTCGCGGGAAGCACGTCGCCGGGGTGGGAGAGGCCGCCCCCTCCGCATCCTGACTCTGTCTGCTCTGATCTCCTCAGATTCTGAGCTCGCCAGCCGGGAGCAGCGGCGCCCTCGGGGCGGCTGGACAGGCCCCGCGCCATGCCCGAGGGCTGAGCGCCGCCGCCGCCGCCGCCGCCGCCGCCGCCGCCGCCGCCGCCGCAGGGCCTCGTCCCGCCTAGCGCGGGGCTGCGCGCGCCCAGGTCGGGGCCCCGGCGGCCGACCATGGTGCTGCCGCCCCCGGACCGGCGCCACGTGTGCCTGACCACGCTGGTGATCATGGGCAGCATGGCGGTCATGGACGCGTACCTGGTGGAGCAGAACCAGGGCCCGCGCAAGATCGGCGTGTGCATCATCGTGTTGGTGGGCGACGTGTGCTTCCTGCTGGTGTTGCGCTACGTGGCCGTGTGGGTAGGCGCCGAGGTGCGCACGGCCAAGCGCGGCTACGCCATGATTCTCTGGTTCCTCTACATCTTCGTGCTGGAGATCAAGCTCTACTTCATCTTCCAGAACTACAAGGCGGCGCGGCGCGGCGCGGCCGACCCGCTGGCGCGCAAGGCGCTGACGCTGCTGCTGTCGGTGTGCGTGCCCGGCCTCTTCCTGCTGCTCGTGGCGCTCGACCGCATGGAGTACGTGCGCACCTTCCGGAAGCGCGAGGACCTGCGCGGCCGCCTCTTCTGGGTGGCGCTGGACCTGCTGGACCTGTTGGACATGCAGGCCAACCTGTGGGAGCCGCCGCGCACCGCGCTGCCGCTCTGGGCCGAGGGCCTCACCTTCTTCTACTGCTACATGCTGCTGCTGGTTCTGCCGTGCGTGGCGCTCAGTGAGGTCAGCATGCAGGGCGAGCACATCGCGCCTCAGAGGATGATGCTCTACCCGGTGCTCAGCCTCGCCACCGTCAACGTGGTGGCCGTGCTGGCGCGCGCCGCCAACATGGCTCTCTTCCGCGACAGCCGCGTCTCGGCCATCTTCGTGGGCAAGAACGTGGTGGCGCTCGCCACCAAGGCCTGCACCTTTCTGGAGTACCGCCGCCAGGTGCGCGACTTCCCACCACCCGCGCTGGCTCTGGAGCTGCAGCCCCCAGTCCCCCAGCGCAACTCGGTGCCGCCGCACGCGCCGCTGCACGGCCAGCCGGGCCGCCCCCACGGGCCCTCACCCACGCGAGACGCCCTGGACACGTGACAGGGGCCGCCCGAGGGCGCTGAGACGCGTGGCTGCAGGCGCACGGTTTGCATGGGATGGGGTGGGGGCGGGCTCCCAACAGGGCTAGGTGCGGAGAGTGCCCGAACCCGGGGGGGTGGGGGGCGACCCCCGGCCGCTTCTTCATCTCAGGAATCCTTCGGACCACGGACCTCAGACCCTGCTCGGCCAGTCCGTCCAGCGTGGGCGCCCGTGTGTACGGCCTGAGCCAGAGTGGGAAGGGTCCCACCTCCGCCTGCTGGGGGCCTGGGTGGGAAGGGAGGACAGAGTGGGCGGAGGTCTGTTCCCCTGGGGTCCCTGGGTGGGGGCCTCTGGCTCAGAGTTTGGGACTAAGGAGGCCTCTGTCATTTTAAAGACTCTTGTTTACAGTTTTGTATGGAACGTGGCACTGCTCTGCCTGTTTGATGTGTCCAGTCTCTTGATAGCTGCGGAGGGGCGCCTGAGGGGCGGGGTGTGAGCGAGTGACGGTGGGCGGCTGGGCCGGTCCACTTCTGTCCTGTCCTGGTCTCTCTGGGCAGTCAGACGGGGACGGCAGGGAGGACCCGTGGGAGAGTGGGTCTGAGGGGCCCTAGGGTCCCGCTCCCTCCCCCGACGGTCTGTTTTGGGTTCCTGCCTCTTCCCGGAGGAGCCCCTTGCTGGTCCTTGGGTCTCCGCCTAGCGATGGGGCCGTTGCTGTGGGGTTGCCTTGGCTGTGAGGCCCCGTGTCCCGGTTTCAGAGGCGGGAACTTGGCGCACTCCCAGGGCAGAGAAGACGGCTCTGGGCTCACGGAGCCCCAGGCTCACCCGTCCTCCTGGGCGTCAGCGCTGGTCTGCACCTCTACCTCTGCCTCCACTGGCCTCCACGGCCCTGCGGCGCCAGGCACACTGGTCCTGCCTTGGTTTAATGGGCCATGTGCCCTGCCCCCCGACTTGGAGGGCCTCCGAATGAGGCCCAGGCCGGCACCCACCGTTTTCATGACCGGGGCTGTTGTCTGGCTCGTGGCCCGAGGTGTCTTCCCTCTGGGTTTGCCTTGGGAACAAGATGGGGACGTCCCAGCCTGCCCTTCCCTGGCTTCCTGAGGTGGTCTGTGATGGCAGAAGTGACAGCAGCGCCACCCAGCCGCTCCCCGTCTGTTATCGCCTCACTCCTCAGCTCACAGCTCCTGTCACCTCAAAAACAGCTTCCCGATTCGGGAAGGAGAGGGCGGGGACTCCTCCTTGCGGCTTCCCCTGTTGGTAGGGAAGTCCCTCTCAGAAGCCCCCCGCGTGGGCCCCTCAGGGGCCCTGGGCCAGAACTGGTTCCATGACGGCCATGTTCTGAGGGCCGGCCTCGGGGGTGGGGTACTTGCCTCGCTGAGTCTGGGGTCTGACAGCCCGGGATGCCAGTGGAAGACGAGGCCCCTGGGTTTGAGGCCGAGGACCTTGCCCTCTTCCCCAGAGTGAGGGGTCTCCGCGTCCCCCTTCCTCCTCCTGGAGTGGGGGCTCAGACGCACCTCACCTGCTCTGGTGACACCAGGCAGAGTCTGCCCCTGCACGACGCAGCTCGGTCCCTCAAGACGAAAACACATTCGAACTCCTGACCCGTCTTCTTCCGTTCCAAAGCACGTTCACTTTTTCTGTAGGAAAATAGCTTTCATCATAGTAAAAACCCAACTTGGCAAAATCGAACTCCCTCATATTAAGTTAATAGCTAAACTTCACATTATCCGATTCATTTTTTTTTTTTTTTTTTTTTTTTTTTGCGGTATGCGGGCCTCTCACTGTTGTGGCCTCTCCCGTCGCGGAGCACAGGCTCCGGACGCGCAGGCTCAGCGGCCACGGCTCACGGGCCCAGCCGCTCCGCGGCATGTGGGATCTTCCCGGACCGGGGCACGAACCCGCGTCCCCTGCATCGGCAGGTGGACCCCCAACCACTGTACCACCAGGGAAGCCTATCCGATTCATTTTGTCCAGTAACGTGGTGGAGACCCAGTTAGTGATAAGCCCAGAACAGAAGCCACCACCGTCATCGCCCCTGTTAGGATGGCCGCCACGTCATCTGCTCTCTGGGGACCCTTTTGCCGATGGCCCAGGTGGAGGAGGGATGGGACACTGCAGTGTTGCACGGCCTCTCATGGCTGAAGCGTGAGTGGCTTAATCTGTGGCAAAAACAAGGTAACTGCCAGTTCACCGGAGAAAGACCAAGGAGAAGACCCCGCAGTCAGAGGGTCTGAGGCTGGGCGCTGCCCGAGGGCTTCAGACTGGCGGTGGGCGCTCACGTGTGTCAGCTGCGTCAGTATGCAGGGCGCCCGGGGTGGACTTCTCCCAGGGAGACAGCTGGAGTTGGGGTCGCACCAGGAGGCTGAGAGCAGAACAGCAGCGGTTCAGAGCGGGTGTGTTGGTCAGGGTCCTGTGGAGAGACAGAGCCAGTGGGAGAGATACGGAACAGAAGAGACCCTTTATGAGGGGTTGGCTCACGCAACCGTGGAGGCCGAGCGGGCCCATGACCTGCCAGCTGCGGGCCGGGGACCAGGAGGACGGCGCTGTCGTTCAGTCTGAGTCCGAAGGTCCACGGAGCAGGAGTGCGGATGTCTGAGGGCAGGAGAAGATGGATGTCCCAGCTCAGGCAGGGGCGAACCCACCTCCCGTCCCCCGCTCCCCGCTCCTCTCTCCAGGCCTCCAGGATTGGGTGAGGACCGCTGCACGGGGAGGGCCATCTGCTTACACCCTCACCGACACACCCAGAAATAGCCTCACATGCTGCCTGGGCTCTTGTGGCCCAGCCCGCTCGACACGTCAAATTAAGTGTCACAGGTGGGGGCGAGGCTTGGACAGCCGAGGGGTGGGAGGAATGGCAGAGAGGGGGCTGGGGGGATGGGGAGGGAGGTCAAGACAGGTGAGGAAGACGCCTGCTGGGTTTGCAGGCAGGGCATTGCCGTGGACGCCGAGTGGCTGCCCCGTGGCTGCCCCGTGGCCACTCCTTCATGGTGACCAGACCAGAATTTGCTTGGGGGTCGCCCTGTGCCTATTAGCCCAGTGGAATCGACTCCTTCTTCACTGGTGCTGGGTCACGGAGGAAGGCCTGCTGACCTGACTGTGGACTCGTCTATGTCCCCCCAGGGAGGCACGAAACTGGAGAGGAGGGTGATTAGATGACATGGATGTTCGTGTCACTCCCACGTGAGTCTGGAAGGTTGTCCAGGCTGCTGGTCCATCCCAGCCCATTGGGGACCCACGTCCCTCCCATCTCCCGCCTCCTCTGTGGGCTCTGATGCTCCGTCCAGGTTCTCAGCCGAGGCACAGACAGGGCGCTGAAGACCTCGAAAGGGGACGCTTGTAGGATCTCTTTGCGTGGTTCTCAGAAGCTGGCACAAGACATCTGGCTCACACCCCACTGTCCTGAATTTGGACATGTGGGTCCACAGGGAAAGGGTGCCCGGGTGTCCAGATGAAATTCTTCTGCTGTGAAGGAACGGGGGCCACTTATATCTCCAAGAGAGCAGCACCTTTGAACTTGACTAGGTTTTTTCAGTACTTTTTTCCCTCTAAGGTATCTGTCCTCACTAGCAGAATACGAGCGTTGCGGCTTCTCCACCCCTGACGCAGGTGGTAGCGTCAGTCTCGCCCACGTGATGGGGCTGGGATAGCGAGTTACCTTCACGTTTCCTTGATTATTCACGAGGTTTATCATCTTCTCACATCTCCGTGGAACATTCGTGGTCCCTCTTCCGTGAATTTTGCATATTCTGTTTTTCTATCCGATTGTCTTTCTCTTATTAGTTCGGAGGCATCCTGTGTAGATTCTGGTCACAGTCTTCTTTTTTTGGCCACACCGTGTGGCCTGTGGGATCTTCTCTGACCAGAGATCGAACCCTGGAAGCGCAGAGTCTTAACCAATGGACTACCAGGGAAGACCCACAGTCTTCTTTTTAAATGGACAACAAGTGCAGAGAATTGGAGGGATCATCACCTTTGGTTCATGATATGCTCCCTTCACTGGTCCACGCTGGATGTCGTTATTTACACAGTCAGTTCTTTAATTTGTTACTTTAAATCATGGAGGCACCTGCAAACCCACCACCCAAACCAAAGCTGAAATCTCGACAATGACTGCGTTTCACCGAGGGCCCCCACCTGTCCCTGCCGCGTTCACGGGAGGCATCTTCACCCTGAGACCTGGGAGCGCCTTTCCTTTGTTTCCATTTTGTGCAGATTTATCAAATCGATGTGCATTTCTGAATTGTTGTTGTTTTTAATGTTATGGAAAGGGTGTCATGCTATATATATTCTTCTTTGGAGATACGTTTCCCTCCATGTTTTACTAAGATTTATCCATACTTTCGCGTGTCTGGTAATTCATTCTGTGTGCCAGTGAAGGACCCTTATGTGAATGTTCCACGCTGTCCCATCCCGTCCCCATCGATGGATATTTGGATTTTCCAGGTTACTGCCACTGTGAGCCGTGCTGCTGTGACTGCTCCTGTGTGTGCATCTCTCATATGTGCAAAGGAGTTTCCCTGGGGTATGTACTAAGGAATAAAACTGCTGGGACACAGGTAAGGGGCTGTAAACCTTCTCCAGGTGGTGCCACACGGTTTTCCAACAGGGCTGAGTCGAGTAAGCCCTGCAGCATCTCCCACGCTTGGTGCTTTTGCATCCAGCGTGGCTGTTAACGTTTTCACATCAGCCTGATCCCTGCTTCTTTGTCTGCGATCTTTGCTTTTTCTCTGCAAGTTTGTAGAGTTGGTCTTTGATAGTCTTGAATTCCCTGCGACGTGTCCAAGTGTGGAGTCCTGCATCTCACCCTCATCTTCCTAAGTCCTGGGGACCGAGGGGAGGTGTCAGGTTTGGGAAAGCCATTGCCACTAACTCTGCTGGCTGAAGCATCTGTTGGTTTTGGGTGTAGATGGTTTGTTGGAACCTCACAGGCAATTGTGTCACTTTGCTGTACTTCTGTCACCTTTGCCGTGCACATTTTCATGCTAACTTGGTAACAGGTTTGGTTTTCCTGGTTCCTTTGTTACCGTGTTTCTCTTTATCACTAGTCATCCTTTTTGACTTAGTTCCATTCTGCCTGATAGAATTGTGCCACCAGCTTTGCTTTGGTTTGTGTTTTTATGGTGTATGTTTTCCCACCCTTTATTCTCAAACCCTCTGCTGTGGACTGAATGTCTGTGTCCCACCCCCTCCCCCCACCAACCGCCCAAATCCACTTGTTGAAGCCCTGCCCCAGTGGGATTGTATTTGGAGGTGGGGCCGTTGGGAGTTGATTAAGGTTAGAAGAGGTCATGAGGGTGGGGTCCTATGATGGGATTAGTGCCCTCATAAGAGGGAGGGACCATGGTTCTCCCCACCACGTGAGGACACAGCGGCCGTCTGCAAGCCAGGAAGAGGGTCCTCGTCAGGACCTGGCCGCGCTGGCACCTTGATCTGGGACTTGCAGCCTCCAGGACTGGGAGACATAAATGTCTGCTGTTTGAAGCCCCCAGTCTGTGGTGCTTTGTTATAGTGACCCCGAGCTGACTAAGACACTCGGCACAGTCTTGTTTCAAAAGTGGACTTTGTTGTTTATGTGCTATGTGGAAATCTCTGCTTGAAAAGATGAGCTTAATCCATATTCATTTACTGTGAATTCTGTTATATTTGGACCTCTTTCTACCATCTCATTTTATGTGTTTGTCATCTTTTTTTTTTTTTTCTTAAACCCTCTCTCCTCTCCATCCCCGGTCTTTTGGATCAGTCACATTTTCCACCATACTTTTTATGCTCTGCAGGTTTGGCAAGTAGAATTAAAAAAAAATTCTTTTGTAATTCACCATTGAATGTTTTTTAAGGGTAGTACATTTTATTCACTGACTTTAAAATTGTGGTAAAATATACATAACATAAAACTGACCATTGTTAACCTCTTTTAGGTGAACAACTTGGTGGCATTAAGTACGCTCGTATGGGTGTGAGACCATCAACAAACACCTTCCATCCCCAGAGCCGTTCTCATCTTGTAAAACTGAAACTCTGTCCCCATTAAACAGTCCCTCCCACCCCCTCCCCCAGCCCCGGGCCCCCACCATCCTTTCTGTTTCTGTGAATTTGACCCTTCTAGGGAACTCATATGAGTGGAATCACACGGGATTTGTCCTTTTGTGACTGGTTTGTTTCATTCAGTGCCCTCCAGGTTCATCCACGTTGAGGCCTGTGTCAGGATTTCCATCCTTTTTAAGGCTGAGTAATATTCCATCTTATTAATGGACATTGCACTATAGAACGTTCTGTGCACTTAACTTGAAATTTTTCTTTCTTTTTTTAAAAATATGTTACTGGAGTAGAGTTGATTTACAATGTTGTGTTAGTTTCAGGTGTACAGCAAGGTGATTCATACATATGTATATCTCCATTCTTTTTCAGATTCTTTTCCCACCTAGGTTATTACAGAATATTGAGTAGAGTTCCCCGTGCTGTACAGCAGGTCCTTGTTAGTTATCTATTTTATACAGAGGAGTGTGTTTATGTCCATCCCAATCTCCTAATTTATCACTTCCCCCACGTTTCCCCTTTGGTAACCGTAGTTTGATTTTGAGGTCTGTGAGTCTGTTTCTGTTTTGTAAATAAGTTCATTTTTATTAGATTCTACATGTAAGCGCTATCATTTGATATTTCTGTTTCTCTGTCTGACTTACTTCACTCAGTATGATCATCTCCAGGTCCATCCATGTTGCTGCAAATGGTACTGTTTTGTTCTTTTTTATGGCTGTGTGATACTCCATCATATGAACAGACTGAGCACTATTGCATGTTCTGTGCACTTAACTTGAACTTGTTCTAACAGGTTTACAGTAAGTGTCTCCGTCCTTCCCTGTGGAGCATCAAGATGTTAGCCTCTAATTCCCCTTGGACCCCTCTCCCCTCGACTACTTGTTGTCTAGACTTTGGGTTTACTTTTTTTTTTTTTTTTTTCTTTTTCTGCAGTACACGGGCCTCTCACTGTTGTGGCCTCTCCCGTCGCGGAGCACAGGCTCCGGACGCGCAGGCTCAGCGGCCATGGCTCACAGGCCCAGCCGCTCTGCGGCACGTGGGATCCTCCCGGACCGGGGCACGAACCTGTGTCCCCTGCATCGGCAGGCGGACTCCCAACCACTGCGCCACCAGGGAAGCCCTGGGTTTACTTTTAAAATGCAAAATGCCGTGTTCTTTCACTGTGAGTTGCTAATTAATTTTATCCACCGGGTCCACCTGGCCTCCTGAGGAAGAACGTTCTGAGGTTCCTCCCCGGGCTGCCAGCCATCCTGGGGCCACATCCCCACGCCAGCCGAGCGTCCCTGCTGGAAAGAAGGCCCCTTCTTCACACTTCTCCTCCTGCTGGAATGTGCGCGTGGTGGCGGGTTGGAGAGCCATGGGGTCACCTGCACCCACCCGCCCACCCGCCACATGTCTGACTTGGTCGGTGGAGGGCGGTGTGAACTCTGCTCGCCATGGACTCTGCTCACGTGAGCCATGCCAGTGACCTTTCCTTGTGGCCACACAGCTGAATTTTGTCATAGTGGACCCGAAATGGGTTTGGAGCGGAAGTTCTCTTAGCCCTCGTGTGTCTGGACATGTGTCTTCTTGCTCCATTTAAGTGACGCTTCGTGGCAGTTAAGTCTGCCGGGTCCCGTGTCCCTGGCCTTCCTGTACTAACAGGCTGGAAATGGACGTCTCCAAGCCCCACCCGCTTAGCCATGTGACAGTCCTGGCCAAAAGGATGAAGGTGGATGTCGCTTCCCAAGTTCAGAAGTGACTCAAAGTGGTTTCTTGACCTTGCACATCTGGGCCAGATATCCTCTGCTGTCTGTCCCCTGGTCCTCTGCTCTTGGACGTGCCCCCCATCCTGCCGCCCCCAGGTACTGAGTGTTTCTGGTGCTGCAGTGGAAGGTGGGCTGCTGTGTGTTTCCCCTGCTGCTGACTTAGATTTCAGCTTTGACTGGATCACCGGGTCTCCGCCATTTCAGATCTTGGCTGTGGCGCTCCAAGCCGGGCGACCTGGGCACCTGACTTCTGTTTCCTGGTCTGTAAGCTGGGGTCCTGCGAGGATCAAACCGGGTGACCCTGTAACCCACCCAGGACAGGGCCTGGCGCGTGGAAGCAGCCGGGTAGGTGTTTGCCTTCCTTGTCCGTGTTCTTATTCTAATGGGATTTTGGGAGAGTACGTTTGTAAGTGCACAGGATCAATCCTTTATGTTTCACTGGAAGTCTCAAAAAAAAGCTCCACCTTTCATTAAATTGAAAAGAAATATTGCAGCTGAAATAATAAATACACTGTGGAAGGGACGGAGCATGGAAGTGTACGTGATAACACTTGCTTTGGCTAAACCTGGGTGGAGAAACCAGATCTCTTGCCGAAATTGGTTCTGCAGGATTTCACTAGGGAAAGTTGTTCTTGACAATCATCATGGCCGGGAAAGGACACTCAGTGACAGAAGACACAGTGGTGATGTTTCATCCAGTTGAACCTTGGCCCGTGAATCAAGCCTTCACTGTAAAATTTATGTGGAAAAGATTCTTTATTCACTTTTTATGAAATGAGGCAGAAAACGGAGGACCTCGGGAATGGTTTGCCCACAGCGGAGCTCGGGGACTTTCCACCCACCTCATGGCTGTTCGCCCCAGGAAACGTGTTCTTCCTGGGGGTTGATGGGCCTCGGTGCTCACACGGTGCTGAAAGCTCACGAATGCCTTGCAGGCCGACTGCAGGTTATTGCAGGAGACTGCTGGTTCCCCACCCGAGGGGTCGCACACCTGCGCTGGGCTGTGGCCTGCAGGGGACACTCTGCAGCGCGGGGCGTGAGGGCTCGGCTGCGCGCGCGGGTGCATCGCGGGTCCCTGTGTCTGTGGCGCTGAGGATGGGCTGACTTTCACTTCCTAGGAGGAGAGGCTGTGCACCTGCGGGGAGACGGGTGTCACGCCTATGGATGGCAGCGTGGGTGCAGGGGAGAGCAGGGCGGGTGGGGCTGTGTCAGGGCCTCCCCAGCAAGTGACGTCACGCTAGGACTTGATCATGAGCAGGATTGGCTGCGGGGAGAGGAGGGACGTTTATCCTGGCAGGTGGGATGCCCCCAAAGCTCACCTGCCCCAGAGCCCACCTGGCTAGGGTGGGGCAGGCAGGTCGTGCAGTGGCGCAGGATGGCCACCAGGGGGAGCCCGAGCCCCAGCCCTGCCCGGCGGCCCCTCCCGCTCGCACGGAGAGCCCCGCCAGAAGGTGTGTGTCCAGGTGGAGGGACGCCCGCTGGCCTCTGCAGGAACGCATCACAACATCACTTCGCACCGAAAAGATTTCAAGGAATTCTAACGCGTGCGTCCAGCATGGAGGAGCTCTGTAAGGGCACGTTTCAGTCTCAAAGTGATATTGTGGGATTAGCTCTATGAGGTTTAGGCGTCAAACTGCTCACTGAACCCAGCTTCTGAGAGATAGGTCTGAAGAGGGACCAGCTTTGGGATTGATCCAGGTGATCACAGTTTTAAGTTTAATGTGTCAGGACAGCTGACACACCTGCCGTGTCCACACCTGCCAACACAGGTGCCCAGGCACAGGGCCCGGCTCCCCACAGCGCAGGGCCCCCAGGTGTGCCTGGCGCCCGGTGTGACCCTTCCTGTATGGTTGTTCCAAGGACCCCAAAGCTCACCTGCGCCGAAAGGACGTGGGGCGAGGATGGGGTCCAGGATGCACACGCTCTCTGGGCCCCAGGGTGAACCCCGACACCCTCCTCCAGGTGTTGCTGGCCATGCCCTCTGCCCCCTGCCCCTGCCCGCCCAGGGGCCCCAGGTCTGGGCAGAGCCTCCTGCTGGCCGAGTGCATGCGATGCTGCTGGCGACCACACAGGGGCAGCAGAGCTCAGCGTGTTCAGGGACCGGATGTCGAGCTCACGGGGCTGCCCTGGGCCCTGAGGCCGGGAGTGGCCAGAGGGGACGCCTGCACGGAGGCCAGCCCCAGGCTCACCCGAGCCCGGCCCTAGGTCCCCTGACCCCAGCCGCAGGTTCAGCCTGGACCCTGTCCCCAGCGGGCCGAGCTTACTGGCAGTAGGTCACCCCTTGGTCCTGGGTCATCGGGGCTGAGGCGGCTGCACCTGTGGTGAGTGTCCACGCCGAGTGCAGCGTTTGGAGAACTCAGGGGACGCTGGGCCCTGGACAGTGAGACTGGTGCTTGGGGGACAGGATGAGGGCG